GTTTTTAGAAATAGAGTCTGGATTGCAGACTACGAACCTTTGAAAACTGCGCTAATTCAGAAAACACATGATTCCCATGTCACTGGACACCCTGGAAGAGACAGTACATTAGCTATATTAAATCGAAATTTTTTTTGGCCTGGAATATCAAAAGATGTGCGGAAGTTTTGCAGAAATTGTGATGTTTGCGGCCGCAGTCACGTGTGGAGAGAACAAAAAAAGGGTCTACTTCGGCCACTTCCCATTCCTGATAGGTTTAACAGTGAAATTGCAATCGATTTTATGACAGACTTACCTGCAAAGACAAGCACTGACCCAAGATATTTGATGGTTATAGTCGATCGCTTAAAAGGTAGTGTCGCTTTAGAAGAAATGAGCTCTATGAAAGCGGAAGACTGTGCCAAGGTATTCCTCAAGTTACACTTTAGGTATCACGGCTTCCCTGCCCATATAACATCTGACAGAGGTTCAAATTGGGTGGGAGACTTCTGGCGAGAACTTTGTTGTCAAACGGGTATGAATCAACGTCTATCAACAGCTTTTCACCCTCAAACCGACGGTGCAACTGAACGTATGAATCAAGAGATCCTAGCTTATCTAAGAGCATTTGTAAGCTACACCCAATTTGACTGGAAGGATCTTTTACCCTGCGCCATGTTGGCCATTAACAATAGGGTTTCGACCGCCATTGGGATGAGCCCGTTTTTTGTTGAACATGGCTACAATATAGAGCCAATTCAACAAGTAGAGCATATTGGCACTGCATCGGAACCTAGAAAAAGAGCAATAAATTTCGTTGAGAGGCTTCGTGAAGCGCAAGAACTAGCACAGGCCGCCATGGCATCATCCCAGCATACTATGGAGGAATTTGCGAATAAAAGCCGAAAAGAGGCTGAAATATTTAAAGTGGGAGACCGTGTATGGCTGAACCTAAAAAATATTCAGACACCTCAACTTTCAAAGAAACTCTCATGGATTAATGCAAAGTATCGGGTAACAAAAGTTATCGACTCACATTCTGTTGAACTAAACACACCTTTAGGGATATGGCCTCGTTTTCATGTCGATTTATTAAAAAGAGCAGCCACTGACCCTTTGCCATCACAACAAACCGATGATGCCCAACCTCCTCCTGTTAAGTCCCAATTATCAGAGATTAATCCAGAGTCAGACAGTGAAGAGCAATTTGTTGAGAGAATTCTTCGGGCAGAAAATAGAAAGATTGGTCGAGGTCACCGAAGGTCGCTGCTAGTCAAATGGAAGGGTTTTGCGGAACCTACATGGGAACCTAGGAGCAGCCTGGAGGATACCGAAGCACTAGACACGTTCGAAACGCAGTTCGGGACACAAGATAATGTCGGCGAAAATATTGGATCTTTCATAGGGCGGAGGAGAGTTACAAAACGCTCCTTAGTGACTCAATCTAAGTCAAGTTGACACCAGCCTCAATGGAAGTAGGGGGATAATGTTACAGGCTGTAGCCTTGTATGTGGATCCGGAACTATCCGGCTCCGTCTATGAACAAAAGCGCGCTAGTGTCACGGGAAAACGCGCTCGATTGGAACAAAACATCTTGCGCGCGCGTTGTAAATGTTCTCCTCCTTAGATAAAATATAAATTCATTTTTTGGACCCATAATTGTGAACAACAAATGTGAAGTCCCTTCACAGCGAAAAGGTCTCTACAGACTTAAACAGGCAGCTGCGCTATGGTATGATGATGCCAAGGCTACATTGGCAGCGCAAGGCTTATTTCCAACAACATCGGATGTATGTCTATACACAACCAAGCAAAAAGACTTGTTTGTCTTACTACATGTTGGTGACTTCCAGGTCATGGGTCCAAATCTTATCAAAATTGAAAAACTAATGTCAGCTCTATATAAAAAGTACAAGCTGAAAATGGTAAATACTGACCTCTTCCTGGGAATACACATCTCCAAGCCAAGCAAAAATATCCTAGAGCTCTTGCAGGGACAGTATGCCCGCTTAATTCTTGATAGACATGGACTTACAGACTGCAAGCCGGCCAAAACGCCCCTCGAGAGATTAATGGAGCCAAGTACCTCTGATTGTAGTCCAGGATTCCAAAAAGAATATAATTCAATAGTTGGTGGTCTTCAGTATTTAGCAAAAAATACAAGACCTGACATAGCACATGCGGTTCACCATTTAGCTTGTTTCTTGCCAAATCCATCAGAAGAACATTTCGAGGCAGCCAAATGTGTTTTACGATATATTTCAAACTCACCTGACAAGGGCATCAATTTTACCAAAAGGGATGACATGAAGCCAACTTTAGAAGCCTGTTCAGATGCAGACTTTGCAGCGGATCCATCTAGCAGCCGGTCAACTTCTGGCTCACTGATCAACCTTGGATCTGGACCTATATGCTGGAGGTCACATTAACAGCGTGAAGTTGTCTTATCTACAACTGAAGCTGAGTATCTCGCTGCCACAGAAACCTGTCGCCAGTTACAGTGGGTAAAATCATTGCTTAAGGAATTGAATTTACTTGGCATGATTGAAGGATCAAAGCTAACAAATTATATGTCGATAACCAATCAGCTATTTCTTTGATAAAGAACCATGACAATCACAGACGTTCGAAACACATTGCCCTCCGAAACTTCTTTTGCCGTGATCAGCACCAATCTGGAAAAGTTAATGTGATTTATGTTCAGTCATCAGAACAGTTAGCTGATAGTTTGACCAAACCTAAATCAACAGCACCACTGTATGGCAGCATTAAAAGTAGAGATGGGAATACCAGCCAGTGATCAATGGGACTGTAAGGTTGTTGCCAACAGAGGGAGTGTTGTGATCAGACCCACTTATAGATCACACAACTTGGAGTGGCTAGTATTGGGCAAGTGAACCTTTTCCTCTCTTATATTCAATAGTCATCAATATAGCAGATCTACAATATATATCTGTCTTCTTCACGTTAGACTTAAAGTGCTATCCTACATCCACCCAAGTTGACTGTTACACCCATTGTGACAATTCTTAGACTTCTCATAACCTCGTTATTACAATAGCTATGTCCTCATTGCTCGTTTGTTGGAGGGGAGGTGGGGGAGATAGCTGTAAATTATCACGAAGATTTGGGTACAGGGGACTTATGTCACAGATCGGCTTTCCCACGAGGAAAACGGCCTGCTTGTCACTACCATTGTGCCATAGGCTAATGCTGAGATGCTGCGCTTAGTCTGGTCAACTAAGTCAGGAACTTCCCTAGTAACATAGCCAATGCGTTGCGATGGTTACAATGTTATGATAGCAACAGTTACTAATCAACATAAGCCATCAGTTGCTGTGTTATAGCTGTAGACTACCATACCCCTGATTGTAGTAGCCGCTCTTGAGTACTTAAGGAAGGTCTAGGACTGGATTTGTTCTGTAGCTTTTTGTCTTGTAATTATTCTAGACTTTAGATTGATCCGGTTATTATAAGCTTTACCTTATACCCCGATTCTGTCCCGTTCCGTCTCCGTCTTGTCTCGCCCTCGTCCCGTTCCGATCACATCCTGTCCCGACTCCGCCCCGACTCCGCCTCCGTCTTGTCTCGCCTTTGTCCCGTTCAGATCACATTCTGTCCCGACTACATCCGTCCCGACTCCGTCCTGTTCCGACCCTTGACCTCCGAACTAGCCACGAGCCTGACAACTTATCGGTGAACGGTGGAGAGCAGATGCACGGGTTATAATAGCTGTAGATGGCTCAGGATAACCTGCTCTACAATGGACGAAGTCGACTGACGAGGTCCGTTTATTCTTTGATTTTCGGCGTTGGTTAATGTTATTCCATTTATTATTAGAATGTTTGCCGGGTGGTGTGTGCATCATTGCGTAAGATATATCATACAGAAGGCGATAGAACACAATCAGTGAGACAAGAGTTATGGGTGAAGCTTAGAGTAAGCAAGGTTCACTGACAAAGCTATCAATCAGTAGGTTTGTATATAAAAAACTTATTGAGGGATATTGTTTAGACCTTCCCAGGTCTTTGGAGAGAGAGTGAGTTTAGAATAATGTGGAAACTCGAGGGATAAATGTTGTGCTGGCTCGGTTGAGTTGTTAGGAGACAGGGGAACGAAGGATGGGCTGCTGGATTAGGAAAGGGTGGAAAATACAGGCTGGTGCACAGACGCTGTTCATGTACTCTACAATCTCTTCACCTGCCGAGTTTAGTGAATTAATCTATCCAAAATAATATCATACTTCACATCATCCATTAGATGATATTATCAATCGTCGGGATGCACATCTAGCATCACCTTCATAGATCACCATCGTCAGTAAGAGTTCACATTTGATACCTACTGACACCCATTTGGCCACAGTGATACGCACTCAGTGTCCATCGTGCCATCACGCAGCGTGAGCGCGCCATCTCCGCGACTCACCATTGCACATGAGCCCGTGTAATTCCACCGACGGACAGCAGAGACATAATTGCTATATACCTCACAGCTCATAACCACAACAATAAAAGACGATTGGCGAGTGGTCAAAAGCTGGCGTTGACTCAAATCATAAGATTCTAAACTAAAGAGAAAAGTATCTAGGAGGATATGAATCTGTATATACTTACATAAGAGTTCAACTGTTGAAATAGAGTTGCCAACACGAAACTTCCTGTCCCTCATTGCATACAACCCAAAGGTTTCGCATGAAAACCAATATCTATGACAAACCTTTCGTATTGTGATTTGTCACACACAAGACTCGTGTGTGTGAAACTAGTTGTTGGAATTCCTGGATTGACCCTGTGTCGGCTTACCAACTATTGAGCCGACAACCACGTGGCCACTAAAATGTCGGGGCATCACACAGACTCTACATTGAGAGCAGGTGGCTCTTCCGAGACAACACTGACAGATGTTGGGAATAGTCCTCCAACCAACCTTTAAATATTCTATTCTTCTGGCATTCAATGCCTCGCGGAAATTACAAGCTTCATTTCTTCGGGAGTTTTTTGTGATCATTCTTATTACTACTAATATCCACTACAAAATCCCCTGTTAGGTCCTACAAGTATATGGATCATATTGATCAAGTTCAGGGCTACTCTAAGTAATGTCGCCAAATATAGTCGTCGATAGCTCGCCGGAGAATAGAATTGTGTCCCCTCAACAAACCTACACAATGTGGTCGCCCATCCATTTCTGGTATTATAACATGAAAAGCCAGCAAAAAAATTCCCTACAAAGTTGATAATTATATAATGTTGGTATTCACCTTTGACCAACCTGTTTAGCAAGCTGAATGTTAAAGAGAGGAATGAAATATTCATACCAAAAGTTGACATCTGACTACGTCCAATATGATAAGCGTAAAGCAATTCGTTGGGAAATGGGTCAAATTTGTGACGGTCTTAAAGTGGCGTTTTATTCAAACTGAACTCAGAGCTAGATACAAATGAAAATCTTAAAGTAACGAGCAGAGACATGACTGAAAGACTCCTATTTATTTACAAGACTATGATCTCGTTCCTTCATTTCATACCATTCTCAAAATAGATCATGACCTGTCCTCCGACAAACACCAGCATCTCCGTCTATTTTAATTCAGCTTCATTTTAATGTTAGTAATTTTAGTTATTAAAATAGTTATGATGCATGTGGCTTAGATGACTCACGACTGGTGTTCGAGTCGTCCTGTCTGCAATCTAAATTTGTCATTTAAGAATAGATTTGCATGAACTGGGCCAAGGCCTATACTTGGGTCTAATGAGTCATGGAGGGGTTCATGACATGTATGATGTTTAATATGGTTGGAAGAGTTCAAGCCTTACTTGTTAGGCAGTAGCCTAATGATAACCAGGTATGAGCCTGTGACAAAATTTGCATTTTTCCAGGTTAGAGACACTACGTTCAAGTTCTTGATACGCTTTTGCAGCAAAATCTGTTATTTCAGTTTCGTCGTAAATTGAATTTTGTAGACATGACATCCTGAAGTTAGAGTTTAAAACAGGACGTCTGGCTCCATTACTGAAGATTTGACCTTCATCAGTTATGTGGATTGAAGCCGACATAACCACGAATAAGGCCATGGTAGCAATAGAAAGAAATTTCATTTTGCAGCAAGCTTATCCCGTTCAGCTCAGGGCTACACGGTCTAGATTGGAGGGACTGTCGAGTAGTTGAGGATAGTAGAGGTAGACTATCTTGAATAGAGAAAATTTTCAGAAGCAGCTAGCGATTGCTTTATATATTAAAGGATTCGGACAGCAGAGCTTTCATCCTTTCCTTTTTTGCCAGCTCATCTGAATGGGGCCATCCTACCAGCATGGCAAGTCTCGGCATGATTCTGCCTAAGTTTCTTGGTAATCAGCAGCGAATTTCGAAATTTTCATTAATATAACACTTGTAGATACTAATTTACTGAGAAATTTAGTACATTTGTCTGGTTGTGCATTGTATAGTTATTTTTATCGTCCTACTAATCCAATGGCCATGTGGACATGCAGGTCCCTTCCGGCTTACCCGCTACTGGTTGTCTAGGGTAACCTGGGTGCCCAGCCTTGGATGTGATCAGGACTTGGCCAACAGCTGGGCCTCTCGAGCAGAATTAGATCTTTTGGTTATTGCTATGTAAGGCAAAACAGCGCACTAACCGTCAAGCAATAGCAGATCCTTCAACCTGTAATGCAGCAAATATATTTACAGATGATAAGACGGGAAAGATAGGAATGAGTCAAAGTGTAACACCTTCTAGAATCCATAAACACCTGAGCTGGGCCCAGAGCAGCAAAGCCATGCAGATAAGAAGCGAACACATTGGGCTCAATTATCATCTGCACAGAAGAAAAGTTACAGGAGTAGATAAGCACCGAGGCTAGTGTGGACATCTCTCTCAGAATGTGAAGTACATTATCATGGCCTGCACCAGCTGGGCCAAAGGTAGAGGAGAAATACTGAGAAAGGTAGAAAACCGGTAATTTGAGGCAATGATGAATAATCCCATAGATATTGCAAGGATAACTCGAAGGATCAAGTAGGAAGGAAGGCTAGAGTAGTTTCGACTGATGCTTGAAGTTGAGGCCACGATGAGAGAGAGAGAGAGAGGGAGAGAGAGCAGGGGAAAGATGATCTCCTACCAGCAGCAAAGAAGTGGACGGTATCCGCACTGGAAATAACAGTGTTAGTGCACTTCGTGAAGGTAACACAACTTTAAAGTGTATATAAATTGACAAGTTGAAGGGGTTTTTTGCCACAAAGGTTTCCTCCTATGTAAACATTAGAGTTCTTAGACACCTGCAAGGGCCTTAAGGCGCCAAATCTGGCGAAATGAAATTAAACTCAAAAAAATGGTTGTGTAAGTTTATTTTCAGGGCATTCTGTGCTTGCGCACAATCCAGTACAGTGCGGACTCGTTATAATGATGTGATTCCGTTAGGCTGTCTTATATTGTTACAACGCGATGATGATGAATGAAAGTTTATTCGTGACAGGCACAAGCTCTGCACTCAAAGGGCATGACGCAGAGATGTGTTGTGCTGGCTCGGTTGAGTTGTTAGGAGACGGGGGAACGGAGGATGGGCTGCTGGATTAGGAAAGGGTGGAAAATACAGGCTGGTGCACAGACGCTGTTCATGTACTCTACAATCTCTTCACCTGCCGAGTTTAGTGAATTAATCTATCCAAAATAATATCATACTTCACATCATCCATTAGATGATATTATCAATCGTCGGGATGCACATCTAGCATCACCTTCATAGATCACCATCGTCAGTAAGAGTTCACATTTGATACCTACTGACACCCATTTGGCCACAGTGATACGCACTCAGTGTCCATCGTGCCATCACCCAGCGTGAGCGCGCCATCTCCGCGACTCACCATTGCACATGAGCCCGTGTAAATTCACCGACGGACAGTAGAGACATAATTGCTATATACCTCGCAGCTCATAACCACAACAAGATGACTAGCTTCCGCGAGGACTACATATGACGCTAACTCAGATTGAAATTTGGAGGACTCATGTATTGGGTGCATCCGTTGATACCACTCGTGACCTTGGTGCTGGGTACTTTCACTCCTCCCTCAACTGTTAATATCCGCCAAAGGGAGAACAGAAAAAACCTTTGGCTACCCTAACATGCCTTTGTCATCTTGTGTCATTTAGAGACGTGATTCATTCATGAGTTGATATTGTTCAAACAAGCATGACTATATCATAACATCATATATAGACACGATTCATTGTTTGTACTTGTTGTATCAACCATGACTATGTCTCAGTAATAGCAGAAATATCATTGACTAGTTACTAGGAAATTGGTCAAGATCCTAAACATGTAACTGAGACTATTAGAATTTTACTGAGCAAGTAATTATTCTGATGAACCTAAATCTTGAGAAAAATAATCGGGTTCCTTGGCTTGAGGTATATGAGCCGGATCAAATCATGTATAGTGTTGGAAAATCGGTATGGGGTCGATGAGTAAGGCGGCTCAAAGAGTATGGGCGCGATTCTATGAATAGAATAATAATGATATGAATCGGGAGAATATGTGATATACTGTGGAGAAATAAAAGATGGTTTGAATAAATTGAATTGATTAGATTATCTGTCTTGGTGATTCATAGACAGCTTATATACATGTATACTTGATAGAACAAATCCAAACTGTCACAGGCTCATACCTGGTTATCATTAGGCTACTGCCTAACAAGTAAGGCTTGAACTCTTCCAACCATATTAAACATCATACATGTCATGAACCCCTCCATGACTCATTAGACCCAAGTATAGGCCTTGGCCCAGTTCATGCAAATCTATTCTTAAATGACAAATTTAGATTGCAGACAGGACGACTCGAACACCAGTCGTGAGTCATCTAAGCCACATGCATCATAACTATTTTAATAACTAAAATTACTAACATTAAAATGAAGCTGAATTAAAATAGACAGAGATGCTGGTGTTTGTCGGAGGACAGGTCATGATCTATTTTGAGAATGGTATGAAATGAGGGAACGAGATCATGGTCTTGTAAATAAATAGGAGGCTTTCAGTCATGTCTCTGCTCGTTACTTTAAGATTTTCATTTGTATCTAGCTCTGAGTTCAGTTTGAATAAAACGCCACTTTAAGACCGTCACACAAACTAGATACCATCCATCACTCGTTCTATACTCTAACAATGACAATGAATTGCACGACAGTATACAACATGAGTAAGGGGTCAGGGTCGGTAGATGAAAGCCCACATGTGTATCAGAACATACCATGTACTAGTCGAGTCTCAAGCATCAAACATGCTCATTAAAGGGGATATCAATCATCTAGGTCGCGAGTCAGGCCGTGAGTCTTGTGTGATAATCTCAGTTGTTCCAGTCATAGGGAAACTTCAGACACATAGAGTCTGAATGTCAGGTTCTCTTGGACTTGGTCACTTAACTTGAGAAAGGTAGGCGTGAGATCTTGGATTCTTGATGGTGAAGATGAAATATTAACAAAAGTCTAGGTTCTTGATTCTTGAATAACTAAGGAATAATACAAGACTGAAAGCTGGAGAGCTTTCTACATGAAGATACCTCAGCTACTTATATTTCGATACTATCTGCTACAGACTACAGACTACAGTAATCTAGTTCCAGCCCGATTCCTGTCGAACTCCTGAGAGTGACCTAGAATCTGATCGAAGCTCAGTGAACTGGTAAGAGTACAAAATACCATCCCGAAACATCTAGAAACTAATTGCTAGAATAGCTTAGAACGCCATCGAAGTAACTAGAACTTGTCTAGAGGGATACCAGCTGAAGCTAGGATCAGACTCTACCTCAACACCATGAATCTATCCATGACATAGCAGTAGCAACATAGTCTTAGAGCCAGAAGTTGGCAGGATACCATCTCAACATCAGCCAGCCCGTGACACTGAATTTCCAACATATAATAAAATATACAGAGAACTATCTTAATCATAATCATCATCTTTATTCATGTTGTTGTAATCTAATGCTTTTCATCCTCGGACTTCATGGTTGTTATGATATGAGACAACAAGGTAGTCGGGGCTAGGGCATTGCGTGTGGCTCAAGGCCACAGCAGACATAACTAGTGTACTGGTTAGGCGAGCACTTATATAGTATCATAGATGTACCCAGAATAAATGGATACAGGTTCAGTCTTTTACTTTCTGTCCATATACCTACAGCATTGTATTGTATGAGTCTATTCAATGTCAACAACTAACTATAACATCATCCACTCCTCATCACTCCGCAATGTGACTTCGGCATAGCTCATAACCACAACAATGGTGAGTATTAGTTGTATAGCACGTGATGCCATGCAGGGGAAAAGGAACAGGATGGCGAAAGCCGCTAGCCTGACCTAAGCAATCTTGCCCACTTCCAGATGGAGAAATCCCTTTTGTATATAGAAAACACTGTCATGGGCTAGGGCCTAAGGCACCTAAAGCTAGGTTATAGATTAACGAGCTAGGGCCGTTTAGGTAACATGTGTAATGGCTGGTAAGCTGATTGGTCCCTGTAGCGCATGTTGGTCAACATGAGCCTGGCCTAACATTGGTAGCACACAATTGATTGACATCAATGCGCGAATATATGATACCACTCAACAAAACATCAAGGCATCGGCATCTAGTTTGGCAGGGCAGCAGTATTGGACCATGCAGCTACAACACATTGAGGTGTTACAACAAGTAGGGCCAACACATGTGAAGAATCCCATTGGATCCGAGACGGAGGGACTGTGCCTCAAACACATAGACAATGTAGATATATATATATAGATAGAGTCTGAAGTAGTTCTCTCTTCAGAATGATAATTTACATGCTATTGACCACATAGTTGCACTAGCGCCTGTTCCTTGATCCGTGACAACATGGGATCTGCCCTGTTTGATCATAAGCACTGACCACATTCTCATGTATATAAGGGAGACCATTCCCACTCCAACTTCTCTCTTTAGTTCACGATCTTCAACATAGCCTACAGTACAATTTGAATACAATTCTACTTTCGACTCTTACATTATTGTGAACTCATCTTCTAAGGATAAGTACCTTTTATAAACCCCAGTTAAATTGCCAGGTTT